CCTGCAGACAGGAGGGGAGTCAGCTCTTGGCAAGGGGAGATGGCAGCAGGACAAGGGGAAATGGTTTGGAGCTGAGGGAGGGCAGCTGGAGGTTGGATGTCAGGGGAAGTTGTGTGCTGTGAGAGTGGTGAGGTGCTGGAACAGCTGCCCAGAGAGGCTGTGATGCCCCGTCCATCCCTGGAGGTGTTGAAGGCCAGGTTGGATGGGGCCCTGGGCAGCCTGGGCTGCTGTGAAATGTGGAGGTTGGTGGCTCTGCATGGCACAGGGGGGTTGGAGCTTCATGATCCTTGAGGTCCTTTCCAACCCGGGCCGTTCTGTGGTTCTGTGAGATGCACAGTCTCTCTTGAACACTTTCTGTTTTTTTTTTTTCACCAATGGAAAAATGTCAGTTATTCTCAAAATATGGGCTGTTTCTTCCATGCATCATTACATCAGTAATGATGGCAACATTTGGATAGCAAGCATCTGTGAGATCTGTGAATTGCTTCTTTGCATTCCAGAACAGTTTTGGAACAGCTTGTCCTGTCTGCCTTAGGTAGAATGGAGGTGTGAGAGGGCAGCTGCTTTAAAAAACAAACAGTATAAAATTAAGGGTGCCAAACTGCTTTCACTTAAGGAAAATTGAACGCATTGTCATAATATCTACTGAGAAGTTAAGTAGTTAACTTTGAAGTTAGGAAACCATTTCTGTATCCTGATGAGAGTTGGCAAGATCCTTGAACCAAACCAAGCCTGAGCTAAAACTGCAAATGCTGAAGCAATAAAGGGCTTCGGTCAGGGAGGTTAATAGACTAAGCTGGAAGAGATGCATATATCGTGTTTACCACTTTCAGACTTTTTTATAGACAAGTGGTAAAGCTCATAATTGTATAATAAAAGTAATAGCAGAGAGGAATAGCAAGGAAGAAATACTGCTGAGCCATTTGCCTGCCATAAGCAATTCTATCCTGTTTACCCCTGCTGGTTTGTAACATAGTGTAGGAAATGCAAGTCTGGTGCTGCAGGCCAGGGAGCTGGAGTGTGAGCTGGAACACAAAACAAATGCCCGAGTAGATGCTTTGGTTTTGTTTTAGAGGTGGCAAATGAGTTTATTTTTTCAGTCACTGCTGAAAAGCAATGTGTTTAGTGCTACTGTGAGGGTTCATCAGATCCTTAAAATGCTCGTGCAGTACTGTTGCTTTATAATGCTAAAAAATGAGTTAAACAGTAGGAGAGCTTTTGAATTGAATGATGCATGGAGATTAATAACAATCCATTGCTACTTACTTGCTATTTGTCTTTTCAAGGAAAGAATGTATTATTATTACAGGTTTTAGTCGAGTAATTATAGGACTGGGTCAATGATTAGTTGTGTACACACAAACAATGTTGTTGGAACTGTAAATAATTAAAGCCTGTGTCTAGAAAATAGTTAGGGGTATTAATAGAAGCAGAGCTTGAAGTGCTGTTTTGGCTTTTGCCTTTCATGAAATGGACTGGAGGCTGAATGATGAAAGATCTCGAGGTGGGTGGATGTTACACTCACATGTGCTTTGTTTTTCCAGGTTATTCCTCTGCTCCTCCAACCTGCTTTTTCTTTTGTGGAAATTTCTCATCTGCACCATATGGAAAAAACCAAATTCAGTCTCTGAAAGGTGTGGAATTCTTCGCAGTCAATCCTGAGCATTCAATTAAAACGGAGGCGGTAAAACTGTTTAAGAAGGCAGAAAAGTGCAGTGTTTTTGCTGTGCTGAAGTGTACAGGTGATCTGTGTCACGTGTGTTTTTGTTCTAACCAAGTGCTGCTCCATGGATATTTTTTTTCTGGCTCTAGGTTCCTTGAAGGCTCTTGCAGATATAATATGTGAATATCCCAGCATTCATAAAAGGTACACAGTGAAGTGCTGTGGGGGTGGCAGGGGGAATGTGCTTGTTTTGGAACATGTTGCTTTAATTACTTCAGGAATGAACAGATAGCATGTTTTCCCATTTTTGTGAGCCAGCTGCAATCAGGTTCCAGGCCTGAAAGATTGTTTGGGGATCGGTGTAAGGCACTGATTCTGGCTACAACAATTTGGTCATGGAAGCTGCCCGTTGAGTCAGCAAAGGTGAACCTGCCTTTCTTGGGAGCATTTCCCAGATGGGTGAAGCGTGGCCCACAGTTCTCCAGAAGCTCTATTTGAGTGAGGCTTTTTTCCTCCAAAATTCCCTTGCATTCAGCAGGGATCTGCCCATGCAGTACTGCTTAATAAACTGATGTCCGGGTCTTGATGCTGCTAGCAGCAGCTGCAGGCTTTCTGTACCAACCCTGCATAGAGTTTCTTGTTTCTGCCTTCCTGTTCTTGCCTGCATGGTTCTCCACAGCTGTTAGTTTGAGAGCCAAGCAAAACAACACCATCCTGAAGAGGGATGGATCCTTTATCTGTCTTTCTACAGATGTTTGAATATACGAAGGAAAGAAAAGCAGGGAGACAGCCAGGCTTATCCTTTCTGGCTTCTCACCTTTGAGATCCTAACAGTAGCTGTGAAGCAGAGCTAGTTCCTAGGATGGGCTCCCAGAGCAGTCATTTCTTAAATATAAGAGTTCTCCCACTTCAGTGCGGGGTGGATGTGAGCCTTACGACTCAGTTGTGATTAAAGTTGTTCATAAGGCCTGAAGGAACTGTCAGCTGTGCCGTGGAATATGTTACTTGTGTTCATCTGTGGAGTTGTGGTAGTACATAAGCAACGGTGAGATACTTCTAGGATTATTTTATATGAAAGCAATGTTTAACTCATTGCAGTAGTCGATTTGTGTTTGTTCCTGGCCCTGAAGATCCTGGTCCTGGCTCTGTTTTACCACGGTCAGTTTGCTTCACTTTTTACATTTTGAAAATCTGAATGAAATAGCTAAAGAAAGTAAGAAATCTGTGTGATTCACGTGTTGCTACTTATTTTAGACCTCCTCTGGCTGAAAACATCACTCAGGAATTCAGGCAGCTGGTGCCATTTTCAGTTTTCACCACAAATCCTTGCAGGTAACAGTCTAACTTACTGAGTTTTCATGTTGGTTTTTTTTTCTTCTTTTTTTTTTTAACTGAACTGAACTAGTTAGTTTCTGTGCAGATGTAGTGGTCTTAACGTTTTTAAGTGAGGAGAATTCCTCACATTAATTGTAACTAATTTAAAATACATTAATATAGAAATAAATTAGTGATAACACCATCTTGAACAAAATGGTTTGGAAGTACTGCTAGAAGCTTAACTCAGGATAAAAAAACCTCAAAAACATTTTTTTTCTGAATCTGGAGGGAAAGAAACAAAGATGAGAAGGGATTGTTTTAACTGAAACGCGTGTTTTCATTTTGCTGTATTGGAGTAAGATTAACTTTATAATACATCTTTCCATCTGTTAGCATTTCACTGTCATTCATTTAATTTCACTGACGTTTCCATTTAGGATTCAATATTGCACACAAGAAATCATTATCTTCCGTGAAGATCTGGTAAACAAAATGTGCAGAAACTGCGTCCGCTTCCCTAGCAGCAGCATGGACATTCCCAATCATGTGAGTTGTGTTCAGCACTTCTTGCTAACTTCTTCTTTTTTCCTTTGATCAGCAGGTCTGCATTTGGGCTGCCTCTGACCTGCAGAGCTGCATGTGTTTGCAAACTTCTTAGAGTAACCAGGTTTCTTGAAAGAGTTGTGAGGGGGGATCTATAATGTGGTAGTACTGCTTGCATTTAGATCTTGATAGCAGATAACTGAAACCAGGATGCTTGTGGGTGACATCAAGTCGTGCTGAGTGTCCCATTGCAGTTGTCCTTGAACTCAGAACTTAGCAGCAGCTGGCTGTTGGTGTGTATGCACCAGCAATGAACGTTGTACCGCTAAACATCGATTCCTAAAGGCAAAGCTTAATAGAAATTACCTTTCTAAGATTTGATCAATTAACCAGTGACATTTGCAGTCAAGCAGCACGTCGCTTTTCCAAAAGGTCATCTGCTTCATCTGCCTTTTCACTTGAAGTCTTAATCCTGCTTTTGATACATAGACACAGCACTCTGATTCTAGTTAATGAGTGCACGGCAGTTGATGAGACTTACTGATATAAGTGAATGAGGATGATCTAGACAATACTGGCTCGTTGCTGTGATGGATGGAATCTGTTTCTATTTATTTTATAGGTTTTTTTTGTTTTTAATTTGTTTGACTTGGAAACTTCCTGTTAACTCTTCCTTCTCTCCATCGCAGCAATCCTCAGATTCTTTGTGTGCAGAGAGAACCCCATTGTGGGTACTGATGCACCTGTCTTCTGTGTGCATTTTTGCATACGTGTGTGTATGCTGTGGACCTTGATTTACTCATACAGGGATTCCTGAATTCTGCCAGATGAAAATGGGAATTACAAGGGGAGCAGCTTCCCAGCAGGAGGTGTCACTTAGGAATCAAAAACACAACTTCAGGGTAAAGACTGTAAAGTGTGGGTCTTGTGGTTAACTGGTATTGCAAGAAAAGCCCTGAGGAATAAAAGCAAGAAGGCTAAACACATACAGAAAATCTACGGCAGTGTTGGTACCTTCTGGGCTGGAGAAGCAGCTGAGCAGATTTTGCAGTTTGTGTATTAAAGAAAACAAATCAGCAGCTAGCTGTTGCAGTGGAATCACTGCTTTGCTGCAGAAAGCCCCACTAACCAGAGGGAGCGAGAGGCATGGAAAGTATTTCCAGGTTTAAAACTTCTCTACAGGCAGAACGTTTGTAGGAACGAGACTGACTTGTAGGATGTGGTTCAGATGAACTCTCTGTGTTTATCTTGCAGTTTGTAAAGACCATATTATCACAAGGACACCTGACACCACTTCCACTGTATGTTAGCCCTGTGTACTGGGCCTACGACTACGCCCTGAGGGTTTATCCTGTGCCAGACATGCTCGTCGTTGCGGATAAATACGACCCCTTCACTGTCACCAACACTGACTGCATTTGCATAAATCCTGTAAGATTTCCTTACACTTTACAGAATAAGACTTGTGCAGACAACCTTGAATTCATAAATTGCTTTATTGATATATTAGGAAAATTAATGATGGGTCAATTGCCAAAGGGAATGCAGTTACATACTGCCTCTGACCATCTGTACAGCGTTATACTTACACATTTGTGGTGTATTTTTCTTCACAGGGTTCTTTTCCAAGGAGTGGCTTTTCTTTCAAGGTATTCTACCCCTCCAACAAGACTGTTGAAGACAGGTAAATATATTCATTTTATTTGCTGACTTTCTAGTTATCAGGAGGAATACAGAAAAGCAACTATATAAACAGAATGAATCTTCTAGCAGTTAACGCAGCAGCATAAGAAGCTCAGAAGCCTAGACCTAAAATAAGACATTCAGAAGTTATGGTCAGGAAACAGTGATGAGGAACGTGATCCAAAAGTAAACGGAAACATAGATTGTATTAAATGATTTTCAGTAACTGAGACCCAGTTGGGAAACAGATTTGTTTCTGAACATTATACTTGTTGCATTGGGTTAATCACATTTAGAAATGATTTTTGGTTCATTTTGTGATCATAATCAAACTCAGAAGCCATTTTTATGCTCTGATTTCATGTATTTTACACGTGTGCTTATTCATTCCCAGTGTGGTCTTTCAACAGCTGGAAAAAAAACAAACCAGTTGCAAAAACAGAAAAACACAAACTAAACACTATCAAAACATTTACAACTGTGCTAAAATTTCCATCTGTTTGAAATAACAGTGGTAGAACCAAACAGGAAAATTGCTATTTGTCTTGTCTGCCTCTGATTCAATTTCATGTCTTTTTGCAGCAGCTTTTTGACATCTTCTGTAGAATAGGGATAAAAGATGTAAGGGATAAAAGATAGATCTGTGTTTAATTCAGTCTTTACTTGAATACAGAAATAATCATACCAAGAGGTGTTTTAGGTCTTTAGATAGATCAAAACATGAAGTCTAACACAGATCACAGAATAGAATGATGTGGTATGTATTGACATTTCTTTTAACTAAACCTTTATTTTGTTTGGTATTTTCAGCAAGCTTCAGGGTCTCTGACTTTCTACAAGACTACAAAAAGAGACTGAGCCTTTGTGAGGCCAACTGCAGCACTCGTTTAGATGGATTGATTTTATGATGTTTTGCAGGCTGTTCATAATAAATGTCAAAGCCATGCTTATTTTGTACGAAAATAAACTTTTACACAAAAATATGCTGCGTTTAGATAAAATTAATTTCCACAACGCAAGAAAAGAAGGCACCTGGAAGAAGCAAAGGCACGTGTAGGAAATTGGTATCTTTTAGAAAGGAAGTGAAGAAGAGGGAGAACAGTTTTTCCCTATGCTGAGCAGAACTGAGAGCTAGTTGTCTGCTACCCAGAGGAAGGGCAGCGCAGGCTGGGATTTGTCTTGGAGCAGGAAAGGCATAAGGCAGATTTGCCAGGGGCTGATTAGTGCTGGCAGTGGATAGTGGTGCTCAGCCAGGGAGAGGCGAAAGAGAACAGGGGTGAGGTCGTTTGAAATCCATGCGGGAGCATCAGAACGTGGCAGTACTGATTTGCACAGGTGGTATAGCCTGCAGCAGTTGTGGCCCTGCGGAGCTCACTGGGGCGCCATCTTGCTCGGCGTCGCCATAGCAACGGACTGACGGCGCCACCGCCATCTTGTTTAGCGTCGTCATAGCAACAAAAGGGTGTCGCCATCTTGTTTAGCGTCGCCATAACAACGCGATAGGCCAGAACGGAGCCGCCATCTTGTTTACGCGTCTCCACAGCAACCGGCGCGGCCATGGCGGGCCCGGGGCGGCTGGAGGAGCTGGAGCTGAGCTCCGAGGAAGCGGAGCGGCTGCAGCGGGCCTTCCGCGACGAGCGGTTCCGGGCGCTGTTCGCCGAGTACGCGGCGGAGCTGGCCGACCCGGAGCAGCGGCGGCTGTACGAGGAGGAGGTGACGGCCCTGGAGCGGGAGCGCGGCGTGGAGGTGCGCTTCATCCACCCGACGCCGGGCTACGTGCTGCGCACCAGCCAGGCCGGCTCCCGCCGCTGCTACCTCAACATCTGCAGCAACCCGCACGTCGCCCCGCCGCAGGCCCGCGCCGAGCCGGGCGGCCAACGTTGGGCGCTGCCCCACAGCCTGGCGCCGGGCCGCGAGGAGCTGGGCCGGGCCGGCCGCCGCTGCCTCGTTTACGATGTCGTCTTCCACCCCTCCGCGCTCCGCTTGGCCGCCCGCAGCGCCCGCTTCCGCCGGCTGCTCAACGACGTGGCCATGGAGGCCGTGGAGAGCCGCTTCTCCGCGCAGCTCGACCGCGCCAACGCATCCGTGCTCCGCGGCGCCCGCTACAAGGGCGTCCCGCAGGCACCTGTCATCCGCTCCCCGCTGCCCGGCGGCGCCCAGCAGCCGCCCTCTGACACCGCCCTGCCGCCGCCGCCGCTCCCCCCGCCCGGCCTTCCTTCCGCCGCTCCCCCGCCGGCCCCCGGCCCGCCGCCCGGCCCCACCACCCCGCGCTGGAGCGTCCGCTACCGCTCCTACGTGGACCTACAGGACTACTGCCACGACTCGGCGCCCGGCCCGGTGCCCCGGGAGCTGGTGGTGACGGTGGAGCTGCCGCTGCTCCGCTCCGCCGCTCAGGCCGAGCTGGAGGTCCGCCCGCGGGAGCTGCGCCTCGACTCACGGCGGCCCGCCTACCGCCTCCGCCTCCGCCTCCCGTACCGCGTGGACGAGAGCGCGGGCCGCGCCGTTTTCGACAAGGCCGAGCGGCGGCTGCTGGTCACGCTGCCCGTCGTACCGCCGCCCGGCCTGGGGGCGCCGCTCGGGGACGCCGGCGGGGAGCGGTGGGAGGAGCCCCGGGAGGAGGCCCGGCCCGGCCCGGAGCTCCCTGACGAGCCGGCGACCGCATCCTCCCCGCCGCCCCGCTCCGAGGCCGCTTTCCCGAGCGCCGGCCCCGAGCCTGGAGCCACTTTCCCCGCTCCGAGCGCCGGCTCCGAGCCAGCTCCTCCCGACGGGGCCCCCCCTCCGTGCCCGGCCGAGGGCGGCCCCGGCCACATGGCTCATCCCCGGGGCGGGGGTGACTCCGGTCCCGCCGCTGCTGCGTGCCCTCCCTTCCGGTGCCGCCAGGATGAGGCCTCCCTCACCCTGCTCCTGCCGGTGCCCGGCATCCAGCCCCAGAGCCTCAGCGGGGAGGTGGCCGCCAACCGCTACAGCGTCCGCTTCTCCAGCGGTGCCGTTGCCTATGCCCTCATCCTGCAGTTCCCCGCCGCCAATAGGCTGGCTGCCCCCGAGACCAGCGTCAGCGTGGGCGCCCACAACGCTGTCATCCTGCTTGCCAAGGCCGCGGAGAGCACCGGGCTTTGGGAGAAGTACTGCTTCGGCCTCGACGCCTCCGCTCTGCAGGTAACAGCTTCCAGGGGTTGCTGTGCTCTCCCCACGTCGCAGCACTGTGTGTGTGATATCTCTTAGGTTATCACTTGCAGGGCTGGTAGCAGATGTCAGTGTGACAAATGACATAATTAGTGCTGGTATCATGTGAGCGGAACGAAGGTCGTGTTGTGGAGCTGATAGCTTCGTCCTTGGGGCTGGAATGACTTCTGCCTCCAGAGCTGAGTCTTTTCCTGAAAGAAATGCTGATATGAGTGAAAATGGCATGGCCTTCATCCTTAACCTTTCCCACGTGTGTTTGCCAAGATTGCCAAGTTCACCAGCTGCTTCTCACAGCAACATTGCAAACCAATAGGAAAGCACAGTGCTGTGCTCTGGGGGAGCCTGTGGAATGAGGATGTTGAGTAAGATGATCTCCAGAGGTCCCTTCCAACCTCAGCTGTTCTGTAACAACCTCCTGGCTCACTCAGCCTGTGTATGTGAAGAAAGGAGATGTTGGTCATCCACCAGAGGCACACACGTGTGCAGCTCCTCGAAATGCAGTTGTGAGGGGAGCCTTTCAGTTCAGCATTCCCTCTACAGCTGCAAAACACAGTACTGTAGCCACAGTAGCTGTGAGCAGCCTCCCCCTGTGCTGGTGTGCTTCCCCATCCCTTCATTACATCTGAGTATGGTCCTTGTGGAGATGTTTTTTTCTGCTGAGGGCCATTAGGCAGTAGATGCTCTGTGTGATGGAGAAATACAGCATGTCTGCTGCATCTGGATGACACCTCGCTGAGGGCCAGCACTCTCCCCAGAAGGTGCTCTGTGAAGCAGCACTCACACAAGTTTGGTGGAGAAGTTCTCCATCAAATCCACCCTTCTGTAAGCTCGATGCCTCATGTAACTTACGTGAGCAGGGGTTAAGGCTGTGTAAATCTTACTGAACTTTTCGACCCTGTGACTTTGAGCTTATCTGTGTTTTAGAAAATCAAACACATTGGATCACAAACCATGGGAGCGCGAGTCTGCAAAACTGGTGAAGTATATCCAAAGGGATGATGGCTTGGAGCCTTAATTGCTCAGCCCCTACAGTTGGAGCATACTGCATGATTCTGAGGGAGATACATTTATCCCATTAGTATCTGTGCAGCTGAAGCTTCCTGTTTATTTCCCATCTAGCAGGCTAACACCTTTCCTGTGAGCTTCTCTGAAGGAGGAGCTGATCAGCTGGGTATCAGAGAGGATGGATTTATTGAGAACCACCCGCACAGAACTGCTTACAGTGTATTTCCTTGACTTGTAGCACAGCAGGAGCCTGCAAGTCTGTACAGTTGGGAGCACAAAGTGTTTGACACTGCTGCTGGTCTGTGGAAGCAAACACTGCTGATGCAGTGTCAGGTTGCATGCAGGAAGCTCTTGTGCCAACTGCTGCCTATGTTCTGTGTGCATATGGAAGGGATGAATGGCAACCAGAAGCCTTCTGACTGCTTTGTCACCTGGTCTGCATATATCCATCCCTGCATCGTGTGCCATGATGCATGTCAGCCTGCTCACTTGTTGGTTGGTAGCAGACAGGCCTAAACATACATCTAGCAATCTTACTCCTGGAGTATCTGATAGCCTGCTGCAGTTCTCCAGGGACGTTAGCAGAAATGGTGGGGTGAGGATACAGTGGTTTGCAGACGTCACTGTGATTGATGCTCATTCATTAGCATATATCATTTTAAATGGTTATAGCAAAATCCTGCTTTGTAAGGGAGCAGAGCACAGCTTTCTGTGACTCTTTGCAGGGTTCTTGCTGAAAATTCATTTTGGGAGCAGGAAATTCTGCTGCAGTGTCTGGTGCTTTGGCTGACGGATGTGTTTGCATGCTTTGATCTCAGCCTTGCAGTTAGGATATTTGATGTTACTATGATGGGGGAACATCTTTCTAGGGAAAAGTGTTCAAATGCTACTCAAGAATGTAATTCTGATCAACTCAACTTTTTTTTTTTTGACAAAACCCCCATATCTTTAAATGTTCTGAGTTTATTATACATTGCAAAGTGTTTTGGCTGGAGTAGTAGGAGGAGGAGCTTTGGAATTAGTCACAGGCCTCCCAGCCATTCATTTATGTAGCAGAGTGAAAAAGACAGATTTCTTCTGTGGTGCAGCCCTTTTGGATCCAGGGCAGCAAATTGAAGCAGTTGGAATAATCTGAAGTCATTTGTTCTGTTTGCTTTTCTTCTGAACTGTGCTATTTCCCAGAAGTGCCTGTGCCAGCACAGATAGCTGCATTCACTCCGAGAGAAGTGAGAAAAATTAATATTTAATTAGAGCTACTATTATATGCTGTCTTCTGTCCATTAACGATTAGTCTGTGGTAGCTTCTCCTCTACTAATGTTGGTTTCCTCAATTTGTCTGCTGTAATCTCTGTTATTTTTCTCCTGTGGATCTATTCCTGTAAATCAGAGCTGTGCACTGGGATCTGCCAGCAGCTGCATCGATCGCAGAGGAGAGCACTTTAGGGATAAGCTCAGCAGCAGTGCCCCACTGAATGGCATTAGGTGGCTTTTGGTGGCCTGGGTGAGCAGAATGTTATCCTTTACCTCTGGTCTGCCTGCTTGTAGCCCCTTCTCCCACAGGGGATAGCAAACAAAGAGCCAGTGCTCTTCATGGACAGGAAATGCCCATCCTGGTATCTTCTACGAATCCACTTCTTATGGGAGACGAAGGCCTGGAGCAGGTTCCTTGCTGGGTGAGTGATGCAGAAACGTGCCTAGCTCACTGCTGGCTGTTCCAGTCCCCCGTGATGCTGCCCGTGTAATTACCTCCCATTAACTCACCAAGCAGCCAGCAAAATGCATTGGGATAATTGCTCTCTGCACGAGCAGAATGGGTGTCTTCAGAGCCCCATCCCCAGGCTGCGATGTAGCGCAGCACGTGGCTGCATTTTTATCTCCTGTGTGCCTCTGCCCAGATCAGCATGCCGATAGCTGCACCCGTAATTGCACAGCTCTGCCTCGCGTGCTTCTGAACTTCTGTTCCCACAATGGCCTCTTTTCTCCTCAGAAATTGGACTGATGCAGATAATGGAAGAAGAATGAGTCGTGCTCCGCTTAGAACAGCGCTCTTGAAGCAGAACTTCAAGGACCGGGTTTCCTTTTGTAAAGGCAGAGCCTCTTGAATCGCCGTGCTGAAAGATGGTATATTTAGAGCTCGGTTTCCATAGATGCTGAGCAGTCTGGATTTCCACCCCAGCTAAAGCAAGTGCTTATTTTCAGCAAACCTCTGCAGCACAACAGTCCTCCCCCGCCCAGACCTCAGATGTGTTGCTGCAAGGACTCCTTCATTTGATAGCTCTTAACGTCACCGATGTTCCCACTTTGCTGCGCAGTGAAGCTCTCTGCCAACCCTGAGCTGTACCTCTCTGATCAGCAGTTGCAGCCATTGCTTTTTTTTCCTTTCAGAGCAGTCTCCTTCCTTGGCCAAACCACGGTGAGCAGAAATCCTATGAAAAATAGAAATTTCATAACATTGGACTTGGATTTATGTTTCGGGGGCTCAGATGTTACTGTTTGTCACAAGCTGCTATGCTCTGCTGCAGATCTCGGCGTGTCGATCCCTCTGCCCTTCTTTCTTGGTCCTGTTTTTCCAGGAGAGTGTGTCTGAATCCTAAGAGCTCACGCTGAGGAAACCCCCTGCACCAGAGAACCCTCCCCCCTTTCTTTTTAAGACAACAGAACCTGTGAAATATGTTATGAAAAAGAATAGCTGAGAGCTAAATACCCATCAGTAACATTTGTGAGCCTGCCAGGCAAGGTTTCTGAGAACAGCATGTCCTGGAACGTCCCAGTTCACAGCAGAGCTGGAGTTGGGAAATTACTGAAACCATGGCTTTGTAGAGTGCTGTTGTGTCATGTTTGCTCTCCTGTTTGATTCTGAACAGAAATACAAGCCAAGATACTCAGCAGCTCCTCTCAGGCTCGCTGTTGCAGCCCATCAGCATTTCACGTGCCACGTTCACGTTCATTTCATGTTCATTTCCCTTACCTACCATCAGTGCAACCAAAGAAACTTGCTTTTTCTCTACTGTGTGATATAGAATCTTTTCTTTGCTTAGGAAAGATGTGTTGTGAGCATTACTTAACACAGGTATCTGAAAGAGAATTGTGCAGTGACACGAAGCTTTGCTTCGCTTCTGTGGGAATGCTTATGTCTTCATGGGGAAGTGTTTGATGGCTGTGTTACTGAACACAGTGTGGTGTTTCTGCTTGGCCTGGCCACCAGAGCCCAGTGAGATCCTATCAAAGCTCTTGCTGTTTTTTCCTTTGCTAGGAGC